CTCAGAATCCTCACTTGAGCAGTAACCGTAAGAATGACTTCCCCCCTGCTGCCCGCAGAACGCATGCGTGCTCTCTGTGTGCAGATCAGTTTCTGGGCTTTCGGTTCTGTTCATTTTTCTATTTTTCTGTCCCTGGTCCAAAACTACACTGCTTATTGTGGTGGTCTTCTATGTCTTGCTAGTGTGTGAGGCTGTCTGAACTAATGAGTCAACCCTCACACACATACACACACCCTCTGGTGGGGTCCAACTGGAGTTCCATTGAATCTCAAGATCCAGAAAGAACTGACACTTTAAAAAACAAAGTCTTTCAACCTATACATACTATTTATATCTTCATTTATTTAGGTCTTTAAAAGCGTCTCTAAATAGAATTGTTAAAAAAGAAATAACAGGCCCCAAACAGAGTCATTTGCCCCCACACCAGTATCAGAGTGGTGGAAAATCCCTCCTTCCCTTCTTGTGTTCTTATGGCTGGAGTAAGAGTAAAATTGACACAAGACCTGATTAACAGGAGAAAAACCAAGTTTAATACATATGTATTGGAGATCATAAGAAATGATGCTCAGAGAGTGAACAAGGCAGGCCATATATATATCTTTTACACAAAGAAATAATGAATTTGTGAAGAATTGACAGGACAAAGAAACTTAGGTTTGGGGTACGTAATTAGTGAGGAATTTAAGCAGAGTTTAGGCTCGAGGTAGTCAATTGGCAAGGTTTGTTGATGCAGGCTTCTCAGCCCTGAATTCCTAGCTCTGCGACAAGGATGCAGGGAGAGCACCTTCCACAGGGAGATTGATTTCCTGCTCTCAGGGGCACAGAGACAGGAGGGTCAGAATGCCCTTTGTGCTTCTCAAGTAATTTTAATTCAAAATAATCAATATGCTATTGTGGGATATGTGAGGGAGGCCTGCCCTGGGCCCCAACAACACAAACCAAGACTTAACTGCAGTTTCAGCCTATCCCAGGAACGTGACCTTTACGACCGTGACCTTTATGACCGACTGACCGCACGGGCAAGGGAAGGTGCCTGATGAAACCCTTGTGCTCCCCTCCCCTCGAAAGAGGCCCCGGCCTGAAACAGTCTCTTCTCTTCTTTGCTAATAACTCCCTACTCCACCCCTTCTGCCTATAAAAGCCTTCCACTTTGTAGAGTCCTCGGAGCGCCCTTCTGGCTGCTGGTTAGGATGCTGCCCGATCCACGAGCCGCTTAATAAAGCCAGTTAGGTCTTCACACTCACTCGGTTGAATCTTGTGTTTTAACAGAGAGGAATCACTTTCTTGTGGAGGTCCTTCACATGTTTCCTTAGGTATTTGATGTTCCCACTGCTACTGGGCACATATCGTTTACACATTTCTCTTTCTCATGTTCCTCATTGTTTGTGGCTGGTATGTAGGGATGCGATTCACTGTTGTGTTTTGATTTGTACCCAGCAAGTTTCCTGAACTCTCCCGTTAGTCCTAATAACACACACGTGGACCTGCTGGCACCGTCCTTTGGAGGACCAGCCAAGGCTTTCACCACAGAAAAGGCTCACGTGTGTCCTCACACTGCCAGCTACGCATGTCAACGTGGCTCTGCCTTTCTGCTTGAATGCCCCATGAACCTCACCGTTTGTCAGCTCACACTGTGCTCATGTGTCGCCACCCTGTCCCACCCAACATCACATCCA